CATTAGCACAATTCCTTAGCACTAAGTTTGTACAGAAGAGGAGCTAGTGCTCACAAGTTTCTTACACAATTTCCCCCGTTGATCAGTTCTTTGCTTTGATTCATCTTGTAGGCTGCTAAGAACATTTTTGTTGTTTTCCTAAGAGACCATGTGGGTAATATACATGCTTTTGCATTTGAATATCAGTTTGGGGAGATAGGAAGTTTTTGCTACTGTAAGTGACCTAATTTTCCTGCCTACCAATGTGCTTGAAATAAAGAACAGCATCCTGCTGTTGTTTTTCAGTTTTTGTCTCCCCCGCCGCCCCGAACACAGGGAATCCTGCCAATCTGCAGGTTTGGATCTCCTTTAGTTTAGAGAAGGTTTCTTCTTGTTTCCTAAGATATTGTTTATTTTACATGTGTCCTGCCTGTTAATATTTAAGCCTTTATTATTTAGAGCAATACCGGGTTCACAGCGAAACTAAGAGGAAGGTACACAAATTCCCCATATGCCTCCACCCAACACATCACAGCCTCCCCCTTGACCAACACCCCCCACCAGTGGTACACTTGTTAGCTGATGAACATACATGACCCATCATTCCACCCAAAGTCCAGAGTTTACCTCAGGTTCGCTCTTGGTGTGGTACGTTCTATGGGCTACCTGTTAATATTTTCATTCTATCAATTAACAGTACTCTGGATTTCCATTGTATGGTCTCTCCACCTCTCGCGTTCTCTCTGGTCATTTTCCTTGTTTGCTACTTATTTTGTTCTAGGAGGTTTTCTTAAGCCTGCTCTTGACATCAGTGGTAGTTGCTTCCAGCGTGGGCAGTGTTCTTTGCTGTTCCGGGGTAAGTCAGAGCTAATGGAGAGGTCTGTGTCCTTGAAGCCCTTCTTTGGTGCTGCCACCTACTTCTCGTCTTTCACCTCATTCCAGAGTCCATGTTCTCCTTAGTCCCTGAGCAAACACTGCTTCTGTTCGTTGGAATAAATCTCCCAGAGCATGCTCTTTATCATTTACATCCAGGGTTCCTTTCATTTTTTTGGAACAGATCTCATGTTATCATTAATTAGAGGCAATTCTTCTATTCTTTGGCCCTCAGACAAGCATGGGGGCCACTCCCCAGCTCACCCTGCCCTGTTTACCTGCATTTTGCCTACTCGCCACCTTGGAATTGGTCCTAGACAACAAGAAGTTGTGCATTTATCAGCCTGTCCTCAGTGACCTGCGGAGGGTGGGGGGCTGGGGCTGTGGGTAATAGCCATCCTCGCTGGGGTTTTTCCAAGGGCTCTTTATAATTACTGGAAACCCCACCCAGGGGTCCTCTCCCTCTGTGGAAGGAGGGGTGTCCTCACCACTGCATCAGCTGGGAATGCCTAGGAAAAGGAACAGAACCCATGGGGGACAGGGAACGATACGGGTTCCGGACATGGGTTCGCATCTCTGTATCGGGCAAGCTGAGCACTTTGGGGAAAAGCCGGTACACAGACTCCCTCCAGTCTGCTAGGTGAGGAGATTCCTTCGCAGGTCCTGTCCTTCCTTGTATGCCAGTGTTGCTTTGCCTACAAGGTGGTTTCAACTCTCTGCCAGGCTGCCTTTATCACTGGAGGGAACACGAGCTTCCATATTCAAGCGGAGTCAGATACAAAGTAGAGGGACCAGGGGAGGTGAGGCCATGTGGTTTCTCCTTTACGGAGTTTTCTGTGGCCTTAAATCCAGTGGATGTTTCTCTTTTTCCCCTGCCCTGACCATGTCCCCAGTCCCTCTTCCTCAGAATTGTGTTTTAAATAGAATTCCCTCACTTCCTGCTCTTCTGCCCCTCTGAGGTAGGCCTAGGGCCAATCTCTGTTCGTTTGGCTCAAATTCTGATGCCATTCACTAATTTCATCACAGAGAAAATGTTTATCCCTCTCATTTTTTTGTCCCGTTCATTTTGTCTGTGTGGGGTAGAAAGTATGGGGAAAAAAAATGTTTTCTCTGCAAGAGATTGAAACTCGCAGAAAACATCCCTTCCCACTTCTCTACGTCTGCCTTCTCTGTTTCACTTAGCAGCCTCTGAGGACCCAAGTAACTGGGAAGGACCAGCGACACTTCCCTCAGATATTGCTGCCTATAAAAGGTTGGCCAGAAACTTGATAACTGAGTACCACTTTGGCTCAGGACAGCCTGGGGCCCAGGAGTGTTAACTCAGCACCAGCAGCCGCATAATCCAGGAAAAAGCACAGAACTGAGAAGTGTGAATATGTAGCTGATTCTGAGAAAGGCAGAAATATGTTTGGGCATGGGAGGGGGCTGCGGGGGGGCGGGGGGCAGCCTGGGCTGCTCAGCCTCCCAGAGACAAACATGCTCACAAACAGGAGCCAAACGTGGCCAGCATCGAGTACCAATGAATATCGAGGCCCTGTCCCCAGTGCTGCCTCAGTGAGCCCTCCCCCCAGGAACGTAACCCCAGTGTTTCAGATAAGGAATAGGTCAGGTGCTGGCTGACGGTCCCCACAGCAGCTAAGGGGAGGACCGTTGGGAAGGCTGCTGTCCCCACCCGACGGCTGGTTTAACGAGGTCAGGGAGATCCCATGTGGACAACCATTCCCAGGTGTCCCCGTCCGGCAGCAGGGACAACTATGGGTGAGAGAGGGAGAGACCGCGGCGAGAGACTTGCCGGCCCCCTGGCCTGCCTGTGGACTGGAGGGACGAGGCGAGCAACGCGTACTCAAGCCACGGAACGATGGACGCCTTTAAGATGGCTCACTGACTGGGACGGTATGTGTGTGGGAGGCCACAGGAAGGCCACGGATGCTCCCCCTCAGCATCACCAGAGACTCACCAAAATAAGGAGACTGAGTAGGAATAAAAAAGTAGGTCGAGGGCTCAAGTGCCAGGAGGCAGGGAGAGTAGACGCAGGCCCACCGAGGGGCTGTGTGAACGCGGTGGGAGGTGGGAGGCTCAGCCAGGCCACACCCGAGAATGCGGGAATGCGCTCGGGCCGGCGGACCTGCCCAGGCCCTGTCTCTACAGCTGCTCCCCACCCCCAGCCCCTTCCAGGGCCAGGAGCCGCCACAGCACCACACTGCTCTCCGCTGTGCCTCCGGCCCACCACTCGCCCCTCCTTTGTGCAAAAGCCCCTCTCCTTGGAGCCTCCCGCTGCCCTGTCATGCCCGCGGTCCCCTCCTGGCAGCTGTCGCTGGCCTTTAGGTCACCCTTGTTGTTCACTAAGGACGGTGGCTCCTAGTCCACCCTAGCTTCTCCAACATCTGCGTCTTGCTTCATCACACGGACCTTGCCTTGCCCTGTGACGGCTCCACCTTTCAATTTCAGAAGCATCCGCCTCTGGCTCAGACACGAACGACTCCCACCGGCCCCACCTGTTGGGAGTTCTGCCTCATCAAGACCCCTCATGCGCTAACCCCCCTGAAGTGCCTGTCTTCATTTCCCTTTGTACGCAGATCAAACCTCTCACCCCACAGCCCATCCTTAAGGTTTCTCTAGTGCAGGCCTTCCTTCCCGCCCTGCCTCTCTCCCTTCCCTGCGCTCCTCTGTAAAACCCAGCTCGGCACCGGAGGCTTCATCCTAGCTGCTGAACGCCTGGGATGGGAAGACAGGTGCATGCGTGCATACCCCCCACCCCCGACCCACCAGAGGGCCCAGATCCCTACTCGAAACTGACCCACCCCTAGCTCAACCCTGCCCTGCCATTCTGCTCGTTCTTTAACCAACTTGCTTTTCCATGCCGTGATGAATGACAACTTCGTACCTTCTGGGAACACCCTCCACCGACATCCAGCTGATGGATCTCACTTCATCTCAATCAAGGCGGTCCAGCTCCATCATCCTACCACTAATGCAGCCTTCCGCATCCTCTGTTCTTCCTCTTCCTCTCCCTGAGCCCCTCCCTCTTCCTGTCAGAGGCTCCAGCCCTCCTTTTTTTCATACGGCCCTTCAGCACCCTTCCTACTTTGTTCCCATCACAACACACTCATGCTCCGTCTCCTGCCAGAAACGCTGCCCCTCACCCCATACCCTCTCCAGGTGTCAGGCCCTTTCTCCACACCCCTTTTGGACCAACTTCTCCCTTTGTGCGGTCCCCCACTACCCACCCACCCAACCCCGGTCTGCCTTCCACTCTCCTCCCACCCCTTCCTGAAACTGCCCCCCTCGAAGTCACCAATAACCTCCTGCTACTAAATCCACTGGACAGACGGTTCTGCCCTCATTTTACCAAAATTCCCATAAGCACTTGGCAGAGTTCACCGTCCTAAAGCAGCTTCCTCTCACCTCCTGGTCCTCTTCAACATGGCCGGCTCCTCCCCCTGAACCCGGGGACCCAGGCTTCCTCAGGGCCCCACCCTGAGCCCTCTTTTCTTTTTTCTCTCCCTGCCACAACTTGGATAAATTAAGACACAAACCAAAAAGTCGTCCTTGAACCCTCTTTTCCCTCACCTCACCCCACACTCAGTCCATCAGAGGGCCTGTCAATGACACCAGCAACACCTCTCTCAAATGCACCGGCTTCTCCCCACCTCCTCTCCCACCGCGGCGCCGACCGCCACCATCTCCCACGTAAGGCGCCGTGGGAGCCTCCCTCCCCTCCCACTCCCTCTCCCATCCCCTTCCAGGCCATGCTGCACACACCGCCAGCCCCTGACCATGCCTTGTGACGTGCCATCTGGCTCCTGCCCGCTCTCCAGCGTCCTCTCCCCTTACTTACTAGAGCCTAATTACTGGCCTGCTTCATTTCTAGACCATGCTCTGGCAAATGAAAGATGACTGCAAATCCTTTGCTTATCCCCCTGCCATCCCAGTCAAGAAATGGAGTTTAATGCCCCTACCCTTGGTGTGGGATAATCTGCCAAGATTCCTCCTCAGAACCTTGACACGTGCAACTCCCTGGAACACCTACAATACACCTCCCACACTCCCACCTTGTACTTCCTCCTTATCTTTCGGCATGCATGCTCTTCAGAGAGGGCCGGCCCTTCCAGACCACCTGAGCAAAAAGTAAAACACATCAAGGCGAGACCTGTATGAATCTTTTATTTTCTTAACACTGACATAAATGAAACAAGTAAATAGGCATCATAACATCATAATTAAATTGATTACTTATCATCCTTTCTAGAGCAAGCGTTGACACGCTATTGCCCTCAGGCTGGTCGCCTCCTTTGATAAAGTAAGTTTTACTGGGACACAGCTACGCCCATTATGTGTTGTTCACTGCTGCTTCTGAAACGAAAGAGCTGAGCAGATGCTACAAAAACCATGTGGACCACGAAGCCTGAAATATTTGCCATTTAGCCCTTTAACCACGAGGAGAGCAAGACCTATGGCTCTCTCATCCCTAGACCTCCAATACCTCAGACAGATTATTTGTCAAAAAAAGTGAAGGGCTTTGAGGCTCAGGTCTAAGCCCTTCTTTACTGGCAGGCTCTTTTGCTCAGAACAGGGCTAGACCAGGGCTGGGCCCACTCCTTTCTGATGTCCCCAGTCTAAGGAATCCCAGATGAAAGCTTTGGAGGAGATGCACCAGGACTCAGAAGTCTCAAGTCCAAGGAGACTGGGCCATTTTTCTCACCCCTTCTGCTCAGTTTCAGAAGAGGGCAGGAGGTTGGTTAGGACCCTCTACCACCTTTCTGGAGTATATTGCTTTTGCCGACACCCAGGCAAGGATGCAGCCATTTTCAGGGGAAAGGGGTCCTCTGCTTCTCTCTCTCTTCTCTCCAGCAAGCATGGACTGGGCTAGAGCCTGGAGAACAGCCATGTAGGAGAGTGGGCAGAGACGCTCCCCTGGTTCAGAGGCCCCCCCACAAGGAGACAGCTCTGATGACAAGCTAGACCCCACATGTGCCACTTGCTGGTTAAACTGCACATAGGGGTTGTGGGGGAGGCGTCAGCTTGTATGTGGGCACAGACCGCACATTCACATGTCCGGGGGCTGCCATGCTGTGTGTGCGCAAACGGACAGAGGAAGCCGGCTCTGAGAATTTGCCAGGGTCCCTGGGATGAGCTGCACATTTTTGCTCTGGATTTTGAGAGTTGCTGGGGGCGGGGGGGGCTCTGCTCAAATGTACTGCACATACTTCTTTTAATCTGTTATCATCTATCAGGCCCAGGCCCGGAAGAGAAAACCTTCCCCGTTCCTTCCTCCCCTCCTTTATACCAAGATCCTCATCTCAGGTTCCATGGGTCCACAGAGGGTTGCCTCTAGCGAGGTAGGGAGACCTTCCAGGCTGTAAGAGAACCAGGCTCCACCAGTTCTAGATCCTGGAGGGCTTCCAGCAGCTGCTCCTTCGCAGTGCCGATGAAGGAATTCTCCAGGAAGGCAGGCAGGCCTCCCACACCATCCCGTAGGGTGTACAGGGGCACCCGTACCAGGCCTAGCACCTGTGAAAGAGAGGAGACAGGTGACGAGATAGGGAGCTCAGCGTAGACAGATCTTTCCAGATCAGAGGTCTCATCCCCTATCAGTCCAGCAGAACTAGGCCTGAGGGCTTATATCTTATACCTAGTGGGCCCAGCTCTCCGCAGACAAATGACCATGCCATCCAGCTTCATAAATGCCAATCCCTCCCACATCACTACACTGGTAGTGCCTCTTGCCTCCAGGATACATGCTTGGCCCTACACCAGTAGTTCTCCAAAAATACGCCAAACCAGCCTTATCAGCACCATTTAGAAACTTTTGAAAAATGCAAGGGGCGCCTGGGTGGCTCAGTCGGTTAAGTGTCGTCTGCCTTCGGCTCAGGTCATGATCCCCGGGTCCTGGCATCGAGGCCCACATTGGGCTCCCTGCTCAGTACGAAGTCTGCTTCTCCCTCTCTCTCTGCTCTCTTGCTCGCACTCTCTGTCTCTCAAATAAATAAATAAAATCTTAAGAAAAAAAAAGAAACTTATTTATTTCTTTATTTGAGAGACAGAAAAATGCAAATTCTCAGGTCCTTCTGAACCAGAATTTCTGGGAGTGAGGTCAGTAGTAAGCCTCCCAGCTTGTCCTGATACCTGCCAAAGTTCGAGAACCATCTCCATACACAATCTACTCCCCTACTCTCCTAGCCCAAGACAAAGTTCCCCCACAACGCATCAGGCCACATCTCCTACCCAAAGGGGGCCTACGGTGCAAGGCCTGGCCAAATCAATGGGGACAAGAGAGCTTTGGATAGGTGCGTTCTAGATAAACAACTGCAGAGGCCAGTAAAAGGGGGGAAAGGGACAGAGACCTTGGGGGGAGACTACGCTGGCTGTGGCTTGTCAACCAGGTGAAAGAAGCCCAAGATCCCAACTACCCCCCAGGAAAGTGGGGGATCCGCTTTCGGGGGCAGGGAGGCCATGGGGGTGGGGTTCCCGGGCGGGGCCCCACCTCCAGCCCGTGGTCCTTGGCGCGCGGGGCGCCCATCTCCACCGCGACCAGCTGCTCGAGCGTCAGGCGCTTGGCGTAGAAGTGGGCCACGATGCGCGCCCCGGGCCCCGCGTGCGAGCTGCGGTAGTCGGCGCGCTCCACGCGGAAGTCGGCCGCGCCCTCGCCCAGCTCCTCGGTCAGCTCGCGGTTCAGCCCGGCCTCCAGACCGCCGTCCTGCACGCTGACGAAGCCGCCGGGGAAGCCGAGGCGCCCATCAAAGCGCATCTGCATCTGCGGGAGAGGAAGCGGGGTCGCCCGGGCGCCCGGCTGGCGTCTCCCGGGACGGGGACGGGGGCGGGGGCGGCGTGGGGGGGCGGGGGAGGGGCGGGGCGCCCCCTCTCACCAGGACGGCGTAACGGAGCGGGATGCGGCCGAACAGCATCCCGGGGTCCGGCGCGTATAACAGCGCGTGGCACGCGTGCCGCCAGCCAGACCGCAGCACCAGGGCCTCCTCCAGCTCCAGCTTGCGGATCCCGGCCATGGTCCCACGCAGTCCCCGCCGCCGTCCCGAGGGCCCAAGCGGGCAGGCGGGCCAGGCGGTAGCCAATCGGGGCGGGGCTTGCAGGCCCGGGGAGCCGGCAACGGCCGCGGGACTCGGGAGAACCGAAAGCCTGCTCCGGGTTGGGCCCCGGGCGGGGCGGGGCGGAGGCGTGGCCGGCGTCCCTGGCGGGGAGTCAGGCGGGGAAGTCAGGCTTCCGTCACAGTGCCGGGCCTGCGGGGCCCCTGGAGCCGGCGGGTGGCGGGGCGGGCTAGCCTGGGGTCGAGGCCTGGGGCTGGAGGCAGCCCGGGAGCGTCCGGGAACCGCAGCTGGTCTGGTTCGGGTGGCACACGGAGCCCGGGGCTGGGGCCGGGCCTGGGAAGGACTGAAGCCGAGATGGCTTCGGAGACTTGGCCTGGCCTTGGGCAGTGGGGATGGGAAGGAGCGACGGCTGCAACGGCTGCCCTGCGGGGCGGAGTGGGGGGCGGCGGAGGCGACTCAGTGGCTGGTTGAATGTCGCTGGGGAGTTGCGCTGGGGTGAGGTCAGAGTTTATGGCCAGAGCGCATGGCGGCGGCAGTTTTTGAGATGGGGGATTATAGGACGGGGGGGTGGGGGTCAACACGTGTACTCAGGACAGAAATTGGGGCGGCGGCAGGCAGCGGATAGGGCAGGACGGGATAGGATTGATGCGATTCTCAGGGGAAGGCTAAGTGAGGTAAGAGCTGTGGGTGTGAGCTGTGCTCACAGGAAGGGTCAGAGGTCGAAGTGCCGAAGGCTTTCCGGACTTTACCCATACACACCAGACCCCTGAGCTGTGAAGGAAGGTGGGGAACAGCCCATTCCCAGGGCAGGGGCTTCCTAGTGCCTGACGCTGAGGAACAGGGATTCAGAATCCCTCGCCCCAGGCCAGGCCTTCCCCACCTTTCACAGGCCCCGTGGGGATAGCGCCTACACCGAGAGAGTCAGTATTTCACTGTACAAAGGAAGGGAGAAGGCAGCTCCTTGAGAGGGCGTGTGCTTAAAGCCACAACCTCTAAGTGACAGCTCATGATAGCAAAGAGCCCATGAACTGTCCAGACACAGGCTTGTGACCTTAGCAAGTCATTTAACTCTCTCAGATGCCCGGTTGCTCATCTCCTAAGTGAAGATGATACCAACCTGTTAGAGATAGTGAAAAGTTTAAAGTACCTAGAACAGTGCCCAGCACAAATTTATTGTAGCCGTCCTTGGAGTCGAGGGTAGGGGCAGAGTGATGTGTCTTATATTAAAGACCTGTGGGTTGGAACACAGCCAACAGCAGGCCTCAGCATCCCAAGGGGAGAGGGGGTGTCCCTGGCATCATCTTTCCTAGCTTCGTCTTCTGAATAGCATGGCAGAGACAGCGTCTACTAGAGTCAGGCTGCTGGATCAAGGTGATGAGACTGTAAGTATGGCACAATTTCATTGGCCTGTTAGAGTTCTAGGGGGCTTGGAAATGGCCCCTGTTGAACATTGGAATCACCTTGCAAAAAGCTCACAAAAACTGCCAGTTCCATGGTCCTGCCCCAGAGCAACTGGATCAGAATCTCCGGTGGTGATTTTTAAATTTGTTTTCAGGCAAAGCAACCAATGCCCCAACCCCTATCCCTAACATTCCAAAGGCCACTTGCTTTTCTCTCCTACATGGAAGAAACGCTCCCTTCCCAGAGCCTCAGGCTGTTTTTCTTTCCTGGTTGCTGGAGGAGGCTTTTAAAGATGAATTCAGCCATTTCTAAGGCGATGTGGAAAACTCTATGAAACCAAGGCAACAGCTATATAAGGACTAATGACTTTGGAGACCAGAGCTTTTTCAGTATGAATGAATATGAAAGTCCCCAAGATTTCCTGCCTCCCCAGTCTTGCCATCCCTTTCCAAACTGCTCTCTGCCTCTGCCCTGCTTTCTGCCTCTGCTGGGGGAAGCCAGCCTCCATCCCCTTCCCCATTCCACCCTCCTGAGGCACAGTTTCCGGAAGTAAAGGCTGGAGGTAGATCGCTGAGCAATGCCATGTCCCTCAAGAGTTACTCCAAGTTCATAATGGTACTCAAAACCAAAAATAACTCGCTGGTCGTGGGGTGGGGGACTGGGTGAAATGGATGAAGGGGATTGAGAGGTACAAACTTCTGGTTACAAAATACATAAGTCATGGAGATGAAAAGTACAACACAGGGAATAGAGGCAATGGTAGTTTAATAACGTTGTGTGATGACAGACGGTGGCCACACTTACGGTGGTGAGCACTGAGTAATGTACAGACTTGCCAAATCACTGTGTTGTACACCTGAAACGAATATGGCATCGGATGTCAGCTATACTTCAATGCTAAAAATAAAAACAAGAAATGGGGCACCTGGGTAGCTCAGTCGGTTAAGCGTCTGCATCCTCTTTCTTTCTCTCTGTCAAGTAAATAAATAAAATCTTTAAAAAAATTTTTTTAAATAAAACTAAAATAAGTTAAAAACAAAAATTCTGAAATTTAAAATTTAGTAGTCTCTTTCAGACATCAAGAACACTGCTGGCTTCGATTCAATGATTAGATTCAACATTAGAAGGCTACATCCTTTCTGATGATGTCATATCTTTGTGAAGCTGGGTTTTTAGCAGTTGTGATGAAAAGCAAGTATGGGATGAAAATCAGTGTAGAACAGAGAATGAGGGTTTGAGATGTTAGGTGGTGACAAACAGGTGCCATGTGGTCAGGACATATACACTTGCTAAGATGGTTGGACCTAACTCTTCAGTAAGTGAAATTGATATCTATTTCTTTTGGCTTAAGGAGGCCATGAAAAATGTACAGACACCCTAAATTACAGAGAACTGAGAAATTTGGGGAGGCTCCAAGATCATCAATCCATTGATTCAATAAATACTATGTGAATCCTAAAATAATAATAATGAGGAGGAGGAAAAGGATTAAGCATTTATCCTGTCTTTTTTTTTATGGGCTGTACCTCAGGGCTCCCAAGTAGTTAATAAGGGGAAGTTTCTATAGGGTATTGCAGTTAATCAAAGAAAAAAGATCCAATCATAGTTTTACTATTTTTTAAACTGTAAGTGATCATAGGGAATGATCATCAATGACTGCAACATTACCAAAAGAAAATCAGATATTATGTACCTCATGATGGAAGAATATACCACCTAGTATGAACTATTCTTGCCAAAAAAACTGAATTTGAATCTGGATCTAAGTACAATTTTACAAGAAATATTTAAAAAAATCTTTTTTAAATATCAGGAAGAACCTAAAATGATCCATGTGGTAGTGGATTAGAGCTGGAGACATCAGTATGAAATTGTGTTTAGCTTAACTTAGATACAGATGGTTACATATAGAAATAGTTATAGATATGTGCATACACAAGGGTTAGTATACACCAATTTCCTCGCTCTGTCAGCTGAGAGGGGGTATAGAAGAAGGATACGCCAGTGGCAAAAAGCATACCCAGTGCCCAGAGCTTGATTTCCAATACCATTTTCTAATAAAAGGAACCAAGACTCCTTGGAGAAATGGCTGATTCAAGCACTGGGGCAAGAAATATACGTGTGAGCATCTTGTGATGTGAGAAATCTCTCTTTTTTTTTAATGAAAAGAAAAAAAACATATTGATGGGACTATGTCAAAGGGACAGGGACACAGGAGCCCACTGAAAGAGCTCTCAGTGGCCAAAGCTGAAACAATTTGACCGGTAAAATAAAGAAGTATTGGATTATAACCCAAAGTATAAAGTAAGGATCTGTGGGTCCGTTCTGCATAAGTAGGGGCACCTGGCTGGCTCGGTCAGTAGAGCATGTGACTCTTGATCTCAGGGTCATCAGTTCAAGCCCCATGTTGGGTGTAGAGCTTACTGAAAAAAATAATACATAAATAAATAAATGAGCGGGAAGAGACATCTCCCATGCAGAAGAATTTGAAATAATTTATATACTCTGTCTTCCAGCAGGTGGAGCCCAACTGACCACTCTGTAAGTGTGGGTTGTGAAATAATGACTTCCTTCCAATGAGGACAGTATGGGAAGCGGGGGGCTGGGGAGCAATTTTGTAACTTTGAGGAGAAACCTGACAAACACTACTTTAGCCAGGTGAATCAAGGTCAACATCAACAGTGATGAGTCATGTTGATGGCAGGCACCCTTGATATCTTGTGATGGATATGGTACTTAATGTTAGCTGTTTTCCTCCCAAAATGACATAACCTGATCTAATTGTGAGGAAAGCATTAAGCCCCATAGGAGGGCCATTCTACAAAATACCTGACCAGCACACCTCAAAACTGTTAAGGTCATTGAATATGAAGAAAGTCTGAGAAACTGTCACAACAAAGGGGACCTTAAGGATTCCTGATGACTAAATGCAATAATGTGGTATCCTGGATAGGATCCTGGGTCAGAAAAAGGACATTAGATAAAAGCTAAGGAAATCTGAATAAAGTATGGACTTTGATTAATAATAATGTATTTATATTGGTCCATTATTGTAATAAATATACCATGCTAACATAAGATATTAGTAATAGGGAAGCTGGGCAGACTATATGGGAGCTCTGTACTATCTTCACAACTTTTTCTGTAAATCTAAAACTGCTACAAAAAAGTTTAGGGGTGACTGGGTGGCTCAGTGGGTTGAGCGTCCAACTCTCGATTTCGGCTCGGATCATAATCTCAGGGTCCTGAGATTGAGCCCTGTGTTGTCAGGTTCCACACTGACCAGGGAGCCTGCTTGAAATTCTTTCCCTCTGCCCCTCCTCCTGCTCTTTCTCTCTCTCTCAAATAAATAAATCTTTTAAAAAAATAAAGTTTATTTTTTAAAAATGAGGATGCGACCAGTAAAATCTAGACTAAAAGAAACTCTACAAGACCAATGACCTGGTTTCCTCAATAAATGAATTACAAGGGGTAAAAAGAGATGGAGGTAGAATCTATACATAAAAAGAGATTGAGGAGACATATCAGTTGAAACAATTGGGCTTTATTGGGATCCTAATTTGAAGAAACAAAGAAAAAGTAAGATGGGAAGTGTGAATACTGACTGGATTTTTGATAGATAGCAATTATTGATAATTTTTAAAGTATAATAGTATTAC